GGGGGGGCGTCACATGACATTCTTTTGATTACAGCCTTCCAGTTATGCCTGTGGCTCTGTGTGGTAAATTGCCAGGCCCAGGAAGAAGAATTCTCCTTGGTGACTGGGCCAGATCTTCTGAAAGGAGGACTTGGGAAAGAGTACGCAAGGTTTCTCTTCAGAGACCCCTTCTTCTACACCCATGAAGTCACCTTAGGATGCCAGGACAAGCAAAGGTGACTCCGAACATGAGAGCTGGTCCCAGAGTTCCATTCACCTCCAATAATGGCTGCCTCTGGAGCAGGGCTTCCAGGTTTTTATTTATTTATTTATTTATTGATTGATTGATTGATTGATTGATTTAGTGATTGATTGATTGATTTATCATTTGTGTGTGTACATGCAATGGTGCATGGGAAGAAATCCAAGGATAACGTATGAGAGTCAGTTCTCTCCTTCCTCTCCTTCCACCACGAGTCCTGGGGATTGAATTCAGGTTGTCAGACTTGGCTTCAAGTGCCTTTACCTGCTGAGCCATCTCACTGCCTCCCACCCCAGTTTATTGCGAAGGGATGACTGTGCTTCACAAGATTCAGCAGCAGCTCCAGCTTCAGCCAGAGAGATGCAGATGCATGCTCAATGTGGTGACCACCAGAAGTATTGTGGAACAAGTATCCTTGTGGGGAAACATGTGGGCTGGAGTCTAGAGGGCAGGTCTCCATTCTGCTGTGCCTGTCTGGGTTATGCTTTATTCTAGTTCCAGCCCATCTGACTGGATCTTACAGCAGTTAGCCCAACTGATCCCTCTTCCTCTCGAAACTTGACATTCCTTGACACACTGTCATCTTCCCCCTAACTCTCTGGCAATTCTTTGTAGTCTGCTGGTGCCTCACTCTCGTCCTGGGGTCCTGGACCCCTTCCCCATGGTACCTCACACTTCCTTTTATCCATTTCTAGGACTCTGAATGCCTTCTGCTTGCCAGGTACTCTCAAGTTTGCCTCTATCCCAGGTCTCTCTTCTAAGCTTCAGATTCATCTGTCTTTGTTTTTGATGTCTCCTGGTACCCTAGTTTCACTTCTGTTGCTGTGATAAATATCCTGACAAAAAGCAGCTCAAGGGAGAAAGGGTTTATTTCAGTTCATAATTCCAAGTTATAGTTCATGATTTTGAGAAGTCACAGCAGCAGGAGCTTGAGAACTGGGCACATCACATGGGGGTGGGGAGAGAGAGAGAGAGAGAGAGAGAGAGAGAGAGAGAGAGAGTGAGGGGGAGAACGGAGGTGTGGGTGTCGGTGAGTATGAGATAGATGAGTTGGGATGGAGAGAGAGAGAGAGAGAGAGAGAGAGAGAGAGAGAGAGAGCATGTCTGGTGCTCAGCTAGCTTTCTCTACTCATAGACAGTCCAGGATCCCCAGCCTAGGGAATGGTACTGCTCACAGTGGGCTGGGTCTTCCCACTACTGTCAATTAACATTAGTAGTAATCAACATAATCCTCCACAGACATGCTCACAGGCCAACCTGACCTAGAAAATCTGTCATTGAGACGCTCTTCTTATGTATCAAGTTGACAGTGAAAACTAATCATTGCACACTGACATAACAAAATACACCCTGCTTTCTCCAGAAACGGGTTCTTCTTCTCATCCTCCCAGTTCCATAAACATCACTGCCATCTATCTGTTGCCCATGGCAGACTCCATAGGGCCATCCAGAGTTGTCCTCGTCTCTCACCTCTACATCTAGTCCATGGCCAACTAGTCAAATCTGTCTTTAAAATGTATCTCAAAACCATCTGCTCCTCTCTCTGCTGTTGGTGCCCTAGTTTCAAGCCACCATACAGTCTAGGTAAACAAAGATGCAAAGAGCTCTAATGACCTCAGTGGCCTCTTGACTTACACTCTGCCCTTCTCCAGTGCAGGCTCCATTCAGCATCAGTCAGACCATATGATGTCCTGGATTTAGTCCCTTCAAAGATTCTATCACACCTCAATAAGACCTAAGTGTTGGACTGGGGAAATAGCTCAGTGGGTAAAGAACTTTGTATTCCCAAGCATAAGGACCTGAGTTCCGGTGCCAGAACCCACAAAGAAATGCAGGGCATAGCGGCACATGCTGATAATCCCAGTGCTAGGGAGGTGGAGAGAGGGGGATCCCTAGGGCTTGTTGGACAGCCAGTCTAGCTAAACTGCTGAGCTCCAGGCTCAGTGAGGGACCTTTCCTCAAAGCAGGCAGACGGCATTTAGGAACAATATTTGAGCTTGTCCTCTGGTTTCCATATGTACACATGCCTCCCCTCAGCAGTAATGACAAAACCTCTAAGTGTCTTAGCATGGCCTTTTCCTTTCTAACCTCTGTTACTGGGCCACTTTTCCATGTGGCTGCCACCATGTTGGCCTTCTTTTATGTGTGTGAGCTACCTGAAATGCCATCCCCCAGCTCTTTTCATTCTGCAGGGATCAGCGTTGCTGCTGCCATTTCTTCTAGAACATTCTCTCAGAGAATTCTTTATACTCTTAAAACTTCTTTATGATTTGACTCCTCTGTTAGACTGGAAATGTCATGAGAGGAGGGACCCTGAGTGTCTCTTTTGTTCACTACCACTTCTCTATCTTAAACCTGTATGTGACACTCTGTCAGTGTTTGGTAAATATTTCCTTGGTCAAGCTAGCTCCAGGAAAGAATACTTTGTGACCCAGGAAAAGAGATATGAATATGTTCATGAGTGACTCTGAAATCTCAGAATGTCTGCAAATGACAGGAAGCTGGTAGTGGTTCTTGGGAGCACAGAACACATGCAAATGAGTCAGGCACTCATTGACCTTAAAGGAGGCTTGTTGACTTCTTCATTAGTATTCCCTGTTTGTCCCAAGACTTTCCACTGAATCAGAAAAGTTCTCCCCGAGGACCAGGAAAGACCATACCAAACCACCCTGGGAGGAAGAACTAAAATTAGTTCAGTTTTCTGGTGACACTTCCTTTCTGGAAAGACAAGTCTGCCAAAGAGGCTACAGTCAGCCTTGAGCCAAGAGCCTCAACAGTGATGGGGCAATGGCTTCCTTTAATGCTTTGCACAACACTAGGTCTATCACCAGAGCCCTAATATTCGTGGGCTTGATAGGAAGCCACACAGGGAGACAAGGGAGGCCGACCTGCCCTGTTTATCCTTCTTGTTGGAAGGGAGCATGTGACTTTCTTTTTCATTTCATTTCACTCCCTCCCTCCTTTTCCTTCTGTAGCCCAGGCTGGCCTCAAACTCTTGACCATCTCCTACCTCATCCTCCCAAGTGCTGTGAATACAGGTGTGAGATACCTCATCTGGCTCCTTAAATTTTCTTTGCCCTTTCTTTTTTTCTTTAAATTGTTTTCTTTCTTTCTTTCTTTCTTTCTTTCTTTCTTTCTTTCTTTCTTTCTTTCTTTCTTTCTTTCTTTCCTTCCT